ACACACACACACACACACACACAATTGTGATTCGTACACATTTGAAATAAAATACTTTTAAAAATGAAAATCATGTAAGGAATATATATATAAAATATAATTATTTTCTCATGATTTTCTTACGATAATGTATGGAAGCCCATTTCCGCCACCCTGATAAAAAAATAAATAAAACTTGTTTCTCATAATTATGACTCAGCTATCTCATAATTATGACTTAGCTATCTCGTAATTATGAGATAGTATCTCATAATTATGACTTAACTATCTCGTAATTATGAGATACTATCTCATAATTACGAGATAGCTAAGTCGTAATTATGAGATACTATCTCATAATTATGACTTAGCTATCTCGTAATTTAGCTATCTCATAATTTAGCTATCTCGTAATTTAGCTATCTTGTAATTATGAGATACAAGTTTTATTTTTTTATCAGGGTGRCRGAAATGGGCTTCCATAATAATGACATGTTATCAYGAGAAAACCAYTGAAAATAATAAAATGCAGATAACGGTCGCTCTCTGCTTCTGTAGATATGTAACGATTCTTTCTTCTTCTTTTTTTATAAAGAATCATAAAAGATTAAAACAGACTGTTATGTCGGCATTATCTGCAGACAARGACAGATAAAAWAKCTAAAATAAAAGGTTCTCTAAGGAAAGCTTTTTCAGACYAGAGTTCAGTTTGAGAGGAACCATGATCYGCAGGGTCAAAAGGTCATGTTAAAACGAGTTTCATTCATGCTACATGCCATCTTTGTGGGTTAGCMTTTAGTTTGTAGCATGAAATGCATCAAGACCGAAACAGAAAAACAACAAAATTGAAAACTGTAGTAAAAATAAATAAATAAATAAAAATAATAATAAAAAAAACCTGCAGCTGACCACTGGGAGATATTTGAGCGGTAATGGAGCGAGCCCAGCTGCACGGTGAACGCTCACCAGCAGGTGCCGCGCGCGCGCCGCTCGCTCGCGCTCCACTTGTCCCCGCCGTGTCCAGGGATGGAGCTTCTTTCTTTAGCTCGTAGCTGAAACTCTCCGCAGTGTGTCTGTTTTCAGGACGGCAGCACAAGAGCAGGAGACGGGTCGAGCTGCCGCAGTTCGAGCTGGACGCGTGTTGGTTCTGAAACACGAACTGGTTTAAATTAATTTCCAGTTTTATCCGATAAAAGAAGTTGTTCCAGAAGATGAAGTATGGGTGTCGTTATACGGGGATATAAAAGCTGCGAGCTGCTCGACGAAGCTCTCTCCTTCACCGGTTTATCCTTAAACTAAACTTTCCAGGTGAGTCTAATCGTACCACTGAAAGTTGAATATTCCTTTTTATTATTATTAAGCTTAGTAGCGGATAACTCAGTTTTACAGTAGCTTGTTTTTGGCCAAACACGGATCTGTTGAACTTCTCCGAACATGGTTTCCATTGTGTTGCTCGGTGTTTGTAAATCTCTGACCTGTAAGAGCATTAGGTTTAACTCAGACCGTCTGGAGACTGACAGCAGGTCTTTATTTAATGTTTGTTCTCACACACGTCGGRAAAAAAAGCTGCCTTTTGTTTAAAAACACGGAGGTAAAAAGAGGGAACAGGGAAGTTTTTCTCACGAACATGTTGGGTTTGTTTAACAGGTCTTTTCAAATTAAGAGCTCTGAAACTTCACGGCTTTAAACAAAAGCCTGTTAAATCTCCACCCGTGTGTTTTTATTGAATTTACTGGACAAGAGAGTAACAAAGAATTATAAATTAAAAGTATTACTGCTGAACTCGTTGGAATTTAAGTCTGTTTAGTGAATAAATCATTTCAAATGCATGTTTTTATTTCATCAATATACAAAAATAAACTTGTTTTTTWAATTAAACTCAGTTATTTCAGCACTTAACATTTTTGTATCCCTGCCATTAAGTGTRTGTGCCTCCAAATTTAATTTTCATAGTTTTCATGACCATATTAGAGTAAGCTGTATGCTCTTTGTAACCTAACATGGGCATGTTGTGACTAGCTTTTTTAGTCCAAACAATACGTGACCTTAGTTTTTTTTTAACCTCCTACACCTTAAAGACAGAGGTAAATGGAGCATGTATTAGCTCATATATGACCAGAAACAAGTTGTGCCTGAAGTAGGGCTGCAACGATTAATAGACGACTAATCGATTATTAAAATAATTGATGACTAATTTAATAATCGATTAATCGTTTTCTCTTTTTTTTTGTTCTTTACTTTGTTTTTCTCTCCAAACTGCTTTGACACCTTCCACTGCCACATCTGCCTTTCTGTCCTTGACACACATGCACAGTAGTGGTAACTGGGGTAGGCCGTGGACGTCACAAGACATTATACAGACAGGCTCTGGTATCATGGCTACCTGACAACAGAGCTCAAAGTGTGGGATCATTTTAAGAAAATGAAAGAGAAACCTGTGTAATATCTGCAGAGCAGAACTTACCTTCCACAGCAATTATTTTTAGTTAGCATATAGCTTAAATCTAACCATGGATATATAAAAGCAGCTGCATTCTGGCACGATAAGCTGTATGTTTTATATTCAATTAACGTATGATCTGATTAGTCAACTAATCAAAAAAATAATCGGTGATTAATCGATTATAAAAATAGTTTGTGGCAGCCCTAGCCTGAAGCAATCTTTCAGTGTAGAGTGAAATATTACCTTGCTGAAAGTAGTCTCTGCAGCTTTCCGCTCCTCTCCAAACGACAGATTTATCAGTTGATCTTTTGGAGGATTTACTGGTGAACTTCCTCAGTATAACTCTAAAACATAAAGGGCTCATCAGTAACTGTATTCAATCTTCATGRACCTTTTGAATTGAGTCATTTTGTCAAACACAATCTTGTAATGCTCTAGCAGAAGTGCTTCWCGTGTGTACTTGCTTTAACGTTGTAATTTCTTTACTGTTCTAACAGTGCGATGGATGCAGAGGGATACACACACTACACAGAAACAGAGAACTTTTGGCACGCGTCGCACAAATCAGGCGATTTGGAGGTGAGGAGCAGAGATGGAGAGGGATGGAGGCTGGTGCCTATGTTTCTGTCAGGAGGTGCACCATGGGGGTTTACACTCCGAGGAGGACTGGAGTATCAGGAACCACTGCTCATTACCAAGGTAAATAAATGAAAATAAACTCTTCCCTATCAGAAACAGATGAGAACTGAGGTGTTGTGAACACATTTCTTGACTGCAGAGCAGATTATTTTTGTGTTTTTCAGGTTTTCAGACTGTTGTGAAATGAATCAGACTTGACGTCCTGATACATCTCAATAATTTGGGTAGAAAAATAAAATAAAAAAAGAAAAGAAAGGAAGATTAAATCATCTGGAAGAAGTACTCATCTAAAGGACGTACTCAACTATTTTTTTAGATATACCAAATAAGGGTGTAACGATCTAGAAAATTCGTAATTCGGTTTGGTTCAATACTTTGGTCTCACAGTTTGATTTTTTTTTCTTGGTACAAAAAATAGAAATGTCCCTGCCCTTCTTAAATTGTAATTTATTGAAATTAATTCTGAGCATTTGTCTCAGAAAAGTACAGTTTTTAAATTAAATGTTGCTGAAACAGCAAGCTTCTCAGTGGATCTGCGCTCCACAATGCAGCCTAGGTGGAGTAGTTGAACACAGATCCACTGATCCTTCAACACAGAGCATCTTCAGAAGACAAGCTGATAAAATAAATTTAAAAAATCTGTATTGTTCCATACATACTGTTTGTTGAACGGTTCGATACAGATACATGTATTGTTGCACAAATACTTGCTCATTTTTGATCCATGAGTATTTTGGAACCCAACAGTTTAGGTGAAATTCCAGAGAACAGCTGAAACTGAAATGTTTCTGGCTGCTGCTGTTTAAATTATACCAAACTACAAGCTGTTCTTAACTCCTGTACACAGCAAACACGTTGCTCAGTATGTTTCCTGGTTAATATAAAATGGAAACTATGGAAATAGGGAAATGATGAGGATTGATTTTAATATTGTAAACACATAGCTCTCTGTAGCCTTCTGTCAGGTTATTGAAATGACGTCACTTTGAAAATGAATCTCACGCCACACTAATGGATTATTTTGGGACTTAGTTCTAATGAGGTGTTTTAAAGAAAATGCCACCTTTTATCTACCAGCCCAGTGCTTTTATTGTATCTATTGCATTGCCGTACTTACTCATGTATAATACAATCTGGAGTATAATATGATCATAATTTTTTGAGACTAAAAAGCATTAAACAATCTAATCATCAACTTGTGTGTAACATCCCCCACCACCACCAACACACACACACACACACACACACACACACACACACAC